TATAGTCACGGAATTCTCTTTGTTGGCTGATAATGGCTAGGTCATTTTGGTACCTAATGCATTTGGCTACTTACAAACATGTGGTGATTCTTTTTTTTGGGGCGGCGGGGGAGGGTGGGGGGCTGGAAAGGAAGGTGTTGCAGTTAATATAAAATCCAAATAAGATCCATGAAGAATTAGAAAACACTAAATAGAATTTAAAATAACGATTCAAATTGAAAAGCACTGGATATATTTAAAATAATGAATTATCTATTCATTCAATGACTAACTTTCTGGAGTAGATACATCATAACCTTTTATAGAAACATATTTTGGAAGCTTCATCTTATGAGTCACATGGCTACTGGAAATGATTGAGGCATGGCTGCTATAACAGAATCATTATGTTAGGAACCCGGGGGGGAAGATAACCCCTTTTCGTAAGGTGTATCAAGGAAGGAAGTAATAATTATCAGATATGTAATTATGTAAATTGGTAGTGTGTGGGCTGTATTTGTATGTTTCTATATGCTGGAATTTGTTATATTTTTTGGTGCTAGGTAGGATTTAAGTGGGTATTTATGTAATAATGTGGTAATTAACACACCATCATAGTATAGTTATTTCCAACTAGAAAAGCTGTTCTTATGAGTAGTTAAGTTTTATTATATAAGAATAGAGTAGCAACATAATAAGATAGACAGAAAATTATTAGTAAATTTCTTGAGTTCTTTAAACTCTAAGATTTTTGGGTCTTCTCTGAATGCGTCCATACTATTAACCAAAATCCTATAACAAGATCCTGGAGCGAGGACTACAACATTTGATATCATAGCCTGCAATTATGGTGATGATCTCTCCAACAGAGATTTGAAATTTTTCTCATGGTACCCATAGGATTGGGTAAAGTGGGGGGGGCAAGTCACAGCGAAAGAACAAACATTAACAACAAAGCTGAAAGAAATTTCTAGCAAATTTTCAAACACCGATCCAGATATTAGAGAGGGAGGAGAAGATAGTTTTCAATGGGAAGATATGATTTGTAGCCTGCTGATACTCAGAAAACAGATGAGATGTTGGTACTGGAAGCAACAATGGAGGAAGATGGAATGAGCTCACACCAGGAGTGGACAATGATGCGCTATTGTGCTGAGAGATCAAAGTCACTGCAGAGGATGCCGATTTCATGGAGGAATATGAGCACATAGATATTGATATACTTGAAAATATGAACCATCAGAAGAATTTTCCTGAGATATTGATTTACCAAACCTAGTATAACCATATGCATTGTCTTGGAATAGGTCATTATTTTTCTTGTGATGAGAATGTCCAGATATGCTCACATCCCACCTCTTAGATCAGCGTATCTTTTCCATTTATTTGGAGGGTTGGGTTTTGACTCCAAATCTAACCCTTGTGAAATTTTGCTGAAGATGGTGGCTGATCAGTTTGCTGGTGAGGAAAGAGAGGCAGGATTGGTCCCAATTGATGCAAAGGAGGTTGAGAACCCCATAGCCGATATCAATGGTCTTATCTACCCTACTACAGATGTTGAATTTTTCTACTTGTACCTTCTTGCCTTTCTACTGGATTGCATAATTCCCTGCTGCCACTTTTTGGCTGCATATCCAGTTTCCCAAGCACCTTTTTGAGGGAGTGAGTACTATTATGAGCGCATGGCTACTGGAAATGATAGACACAAGATTGCTATAACACAATTGTAATTATTTTATTAGTTATCTAATTTTATCAAATGATATGACTAGTTATTAGGATCAATGTGCAGGTAGTTCCTAGACGTGGGAATAGTTATTCCCAACCAGGGAAGTTACTATTCTTAGGAGCACTTATTTTTTCTGGTATAAGAACAAACTAGCAATCTGAACAAGATAGGTAGAGAATTACTGGTAAGTTCCTTGAGTATTTTAACTTGTAGAAGAAGTTCAAATTCTCTATCAACAAGCCTATAATGTTAATCAAAATATCATAATGAGATCCTAAAGTAGGAACCATAATACTTGTCTTCTTTGCTTATAATGACAATTAATTTATTTTATTACTGTTTATTAGAGGCTTATTCACGAGAGCAAACGCTGATTGTTCAGAAGATTGTCTCTGACCACAATGGTTCAGATTTTATTTTTGCTGAAGATCCTGAAGCTAAGAAAGAAATTTGGAAGGTATAGCAAATAGTACATTACCCAAAATACTGAAGAAAAAATCATCAGCTTTTACAGCGATAAGCAAGCATATTATACTTGAAAAGTTAGATGTATATTGAAGGAGAAAAATATGGTCAACATCGTATTCATCCAACAATAGAGTTAAATATGACTTATTTTATCATGAATCGGCAAGTTACCAATTTGCTGATAATTGTCTTAGCCTTTTAGAAACCAAGTTTCTTTCACTTAGTAAGCATGGTAGTAGAGATACTCCTTTGATCTTCTAGTCTAAAATTTCTCATCAGTCTGCTGGTTGTAAAACACAATTGGTTTTATAGAGCAAGAACTACTTAATACCTCTGCTTTTTGGAGAGAGAATTTCTTGTTTTAGACAGCAGAAGAAGAGAGATGTATTCATAATATACCTTTCATATTTAACTAATGAAATAATATATTTGGTTTATTGTAGATAAGGAAGGAGGCTCTTTGGGCTTGCTTTGCTATGGAACCCAATTTTGAGGCTATGATTTCAGTAAGTATAAATATCTGAATTTTGAAAATTTACCTTTTCCATAGTTAGCACAATTAGTTTATTTCTAGGTGCTGGTAGGCAAACCATGTTGTCTAAAATAATGCTGAGCTTTTGTTATGCAATAGGAGAGTTTTCTTCTTTTCTATGCTGCTTATTTTCATCCGCTCTTCAAAACTAGAACAGTTTCTATAAGGATTCCTACTCTTATGAGTCTTTTCTGTAGTTGGTCATTTGCTTATTTGGAATTGCATATTAATTGTTGTTGACTTTGCTTAAGTATTTTATTACTATGTCATTTCAACTTCTGGTTTCAGCAGTGAAATTTTAGAGGTTGAAATAAAGATAAGTGCGAGCATTTTGAGTGTCAGTAGCAACAAATACATTTGTCTGTATGACTTTTGAATCCTTATGTGACTCATATCATCCCGCTGGAAGGTTTCGGTAACAAATAGAATGTCCTCGATCTTGTTGTGGTCTAAAAAGGAGGAATAAAGATATGCTTGTGATGGAACTTGTTCATAGTTTTTCTCTACAAGAAACAGATTAAATGGTTGCTTTGGTCTCCTTCTGAGATTCGTGATAACAAGGGAAAGTCCCCTGCGGCAAAAACATTGAAGGTAATATTTAGGACTTGAGCTGTTTCGAGGAAATAGAAGAGGTCAGTTTAGCACACAGAGAGAAACCAGGGTGGTTTCGTGCTGCTTGTTCTTCCCAGTCGAGATGACGCTGACCACTGGTGGCACCTTTTGCCAGCAGTAATGGAAGTGGGGGAATGCACTTGAACTATTCTCTAGACTTGAGAGATTGTGCTGGCAAAAAAACAGAATCAGAGACATGTATATATCCGGGCAAAAAATGACCACATTGTTGGATTCATACTTCTATTGAAGTTTCACATGCATGTCACGCCTTTAAAGTGTCCTTTGGATATGTTAACGATCTAGGGCTTTGAGTAACCATCTTGGAAACAATGTTCTAGGGAAAGGTTGCACTTATGCCCAAGACTACCGAGGTTCAGGAAGCTGAGATGGGGCAGCAGGGCCTGATCGGGTCTGGGAGACTTTAAATAATCCTTTCAAAAAAGTTAGCCAATCAATTTAAATTTTAAATGTATCATCCAGCTGGGAAAACCAGGCGTCCAAGCCGATTAGCCAGCATTGATATTCAATTCTGCTGCTGCTGGCAATGATTTCCAGCATTTGGCAGAGTAAGATATCCCCTATAAAAATAATTCCTTTTTGGATGCTAGAGTTGGGGGAAGTGAATTTGCTAGAAGATCGGTGCTCACCATGACCTGAAGGATGTGTAGGGAGGAGAGACACATAAGGTGAAGCAGAACCAGGCGAGCTAAACTTCTGAGTGCTTCTCTGGAGTTTATAGCTGACTGAGGACTTGTCAATAATTGTCTCTGAGCTTTTTTTCTTCGTTTGGGGGGTGGGTTGTGGGGTTTGCGGTAACTGGATTCTGAAGGTGAGGTCTTGTCCCAGCTAAAGAGGGACGATTCTTTCAGTGTTAAATCCTTATGCATCCTTCTCTCTACTAGATACTAGCAGGCTGGTTACTATTTGCTTCATTATTTCCTTTACTGTTAGATTGTTTCGTCCTTCTCTCTAAAGAACTAGCAAGGTGGTCAATATTTGCTTTATTTTTCCAATTGGATTTTAACTTGAAAGGAAACCTTATTAACTTTTTTTTTTCCCTTTTTTCATATAACTGATTATTATTTTCTCCATCTTTTTATATGTGTCATTCAACTTTTGTTCATGGTGTGGAATGAGAAGTTCATTGTTCTCGAAATTGATTTTCTTTTGGAAATTGTATGGGAATGCTGTTAAATAGTTATAACTAACTCATGCCCTTGTAAATCCTTACTCTGCCTTTTGTCACGTCGGAGGTAGGTGCTTTTCACAATTAATACTAATACTCATATTTTATTCCACAGGATGTATGTGTTCCTTTATCTCACCTTGCAGAGCTAATATCAAGTTCCAAACAAGAGCTGGATGCATCATCACTGGTTTGGTGCGTTCAGGACACTTGCTTTTCTTTTTGTCATTGAACTGATGCTCATGCTGCATGTGCTACTTCTTTCTTCTAATAACAGCACAGTTATTGCCCATGCTGGTGATGGGAATTTTCACACTGTTATTCTATTTGATCCTAACAATGAAGAGCATCGGAAGGAAGCAGAAAGGCTGAACCAGTTTATGGTCCAAACTGCATTATCAATGGAAGGTTCGTGCTCTGTTAAGAGAATGATAACATATAACTATTTATTCTTAGACAACCTAGGATTTAAGGATTTTTCTACTGATGATGTTCGATAGTTTGGATAACTTGAACTGATGCTTGATGAAATCCTTACATGCATGAGATGCTAATGCCAAGTCATCAGAAGGTTGCTTTTGTTTAAGGTTCATCTTTTTTGTTATTTATATAATTTTAAAATCAAATATGCATCCAACTGCATAACTGAAACCTGTTCATTGTTTTTCTGGTATTTTAAATATTCAGGAACATGTACTGGTGAACATGGCGTTGGGACTGGGAAGATGAAGGTATTTGCTTTTATCTAGGATTACCTTATTTCTTGTGGGATACTTTTGAAACTTGTTTATTGGATCAGCCAGAGAAGTTGGTGCATGGCAGTTGCTTGCTGCGTTAACCTGTCATGTAGGCTTATATTCTCATGAATTGTCACTCATTCGTCAACGGCAGTTTCATTAGAATGGCAATTGGAAATATGCATTATAATGATATCATGAACCCAGGACAGTTATGAGCATATTCGGGACGCAATGTGCTTCATTGGTGCTGTTAATTTAAAAGAAACCTTTACAATGCAATAATCACCACCCCATTTTCCGGGATTAGTTTTTCAAATTTGATGATAGAGCTTTTTTATGCTTATAAACATGTTCTTTCTGCTGTGGGGTGTGATCTCCTGCATTTGCAGTATCTTGAAAAGGAGCTTGGAATTGAGGCTTTGAAGACAATGAAAAGAATAAAAACAGCTTTGGATCCCAATAATATCATGAACCCAGGAAAGCTCATTCCTCCCCATGTTTGCTTCTAGAAACACCTTGTCAAGACCTCCAGTCGGCTACCTCGGATTACAAGGTTTCTGAGAAGTTCATCAAGTTCTAAGGTTATGAGAGCTTCCTTGCAGAATTGGATCCTGTAAACTTGGTTGATTGCCAAGTTATTGGACTTCAAGGTACCGGTTTTCCCTATCTTGATTGCTTCTCTGATTTCTTAGAGGGATTTGGAATTACCGGCTGACATTCTACCGGCTTATTATGCACCCTTTTTCCCTCTATTTCCTATTTTAAATAATATTTTGAGTGAGTATGTAGTCAGTACTTCTTAATATGTGAGAACAAAACTATAAATTTACCTCCCACAAGTTCAATCATGTATTTCTCCAACATGGATTTCTTATACATTATAAATAAATTATGCCATCGAGGTGCCTGTGGACAAACATAGAATAGAGGCAGTAGAAAGATATAGATTATAATATTAATATACTAGAAGGGCCTGTTACCAAATGACAAATTATACTAGTAATCTCCTTAACCTAAGTCATGTTAGCTTAGGTTAGGTGGTGTCTGTCCTTGAAAGGGTTCAGAGTTCTAGGCTCCTTAAAACACACACAGAGGAGAGAGATGAAGTGGAGAAAGAAAACTCTAAAGTTGCTTTTTGTTTGTGGGAAAAGAAAACTCAAATTTGAGTCTGTTTAAGTTGAGAGAAGCACTATTAGACTAAAGCATGTAAGGGCATCTGTTGCTGATGAGCAGCTTTGGCTCAGTGGGACTTAATGGAAAGAGGATGTGATCTCATAGGCTCTTAGCACTAACATGCAATAATAAACTCATAGAAGAATCGAAGAGAGAAGTCAACCAAGGAAAAACAAGACGAGATAAGAGAAGGACAAATTAGGTTCTTTGATATCCCAGTTAATCCTCTAAATAGTACTTTTTACCTAAAAAAAAATCCTCCGAAAAGTTATTTTTTTTTTCTTTAGAAGAGAGATCTCTAGCATTGTTTGCTGTCCCAGCCTAAGGAAGAATCAAAAAATTTGATTCCTAAGTTGAATCCGAAATCGAGACAAGGCATTTTTGTAGGATAGTGATCCAATAATATAACAAAAAGGAGAGACCTTGAAGTCCTTTATCATGGTGGACCCTTTGTAATCCATAATGGAGTAGTACTATAAAATGTTGTTGCTTACCCCATTTTCTTCCTCAACTGGGGACCCTTCGTTCTTCATTAGAAGTTAGAAAAAATTTTGTGAAAGAGAAGGGCACGAAGCTACTCTATTTTTGCTATATCTACACTCTATAAATGTTAGCAGTTGCTCTTTTGAAATAGACGTTAGTACATAAATTGATAGGTCAATTTATGTACTAATGTCTATAGCCTTGTAACTTTGTAGATATGTATTACTTCTGTGATCAGATTCAATACCAATGAAAAGATGATAATATTCTCATATCACCATCCTTGGTGTGCCATTATTTCCTGCATTATCATCACTATTATTATTATCGTTATTATTATTATTTATACAATAATTATATAAAGATCGACCAGTCACGGGTGTTTGTTACACGTATTTTTGTCTTTAGATACAGTCATAACATCTGGTACAAACGTTTATATCCTTAAGAATATCTGAAAATTTATATAAGCTATATATATCTTTATTTGTAACTCATAAATATACCATGTTCATACAAAAAAAAGTACACTGTGAATCAAGAAAATGCTTATAAATGTTTACCCATTTTGCTAACTGCAAATTCTCTTAGGGGATGTAAAGTTGTTTTCTCATTTGGAAATAAAAGAACTTTTCAAAATAAATGTTTTTCAGTTTATGCGAGTGGCGTAGCTTATTTTATACATATACATATATGTGCATGTACACGCATATGTTGAAACATATTATACACTGAAGCATCATATGGTTTTCCAAACAAAATTGCATTATAAGAGTTGATCGATGAACAAATCTGAACTTCATCTCTAAAGTTCTTGATATGAACCTGCAGAATCCATTCAATGGGCCAGTGTGTTGTGTTCCTTATTTTTTGTTATGTGAATTTAAACATTTTTATACATTAGATAATGTTTTTAATCATAAATTCAATTATAGTATTTTTATAATTCATTTTTTAATACTCGGAAAAATAAATTGCTGAGTAATTACATCAAGTAACTAAACTGTACAAATTAAACAAAAATAAAATAAATTTTAACCAAATACAAAGTTATTTCATATCAGTAACGTGTATATCTCCAAGAACTATATATTTCAATTTGGAAATGAAGGTGGGTCGACACTCTGGTCCGGTTACACATGGAGTCGGCATCTAAACCTTCATTTTATTTTTTCTCGACTGTCATCCAATCACGAAGTTCGGGCAACGTGGAAAGGAAGTAGCCCGGAAGTGGGGCATAAAATTAGTAGCTCTACTGGCACATATTATTTACTGAACAAAACTATCCAATGGAATATTATCTGGCAAAATCTTCTTATTTTTTTATTGAATATATTAATTTGATATTAAACTAACGATAAAAACATTTTACATTTGAACAAAAGTGACGGCGTTAAACGTGACGTTTTCTTGTTATACCTCAATTTGATAACATATCGAATATAATATGTTTATATTTAGTCCAATAAAATTATCACGTACTAATTCGATACGTATGGTAAAGCAAGAAAATTTACCGTAACGGTTAAAGTTCCTCAAAGTTTGGTGCTCTTTTGGATCAATAATCACATTTTTAGGAAGGAAAAAAATTAATTAATTAGTTAATTAATTACACACGAATTTTAATTTACTTTTGTTTTAATACTCTAATTTATTTTATTGTTTAACTCTCTGATTTTTTTATTTTTTTAATACTATAATTTATGTTGATTTACTTTCTTTTTTTTTTAATATTATGGTTTTTTAATTCTTTAATACGTAATTTAATTTTTTTTTTAATATCATAATTTTCTTTATCTTTAAGAGCAACACAAACATTATAAATTTGGGAGATTTGAGAGATATAAACATTAATGATAACTAATGTGATTTTGGCAATGGATTTTTTTAAAGATTTCTCCTTAAATTGATACCAAATTATATGTCCATCTCAATTCAACTTTTGTGAAACAATATTTTTGATAATATAATTTAAAATTTGTGTTCCCAACTGGTGAACAATTCAACTCTTATGCCCAAAAAAGTAACAAAAAACACTTCTATTGCCAAAATTCAAAATAACAAGAATCAATGACCACAAAACTCAAAAGCATGTGCCACGATAGGATCCTTTACTCATAAACTAGTTCATTCAACCTTTATTCAATTAGAGGGCGCAATATCTGCGTATGTATAGATATCCCCACACCCACACGCGCAAATATATACACACACACACACACACATATATATATATATATATATATAAAAGATGAAACCAATGGCCACGAGAGCATGTGGCATAACAGTGATATATATCATCTTAGTTCATGAAAATACCCACTTTATAAAAATTAAATTATTTTTTAAATAATTATAATTATCCCAACTAAAAAATTAAAATATATTTTTCGTAATTTATTGTAATTAAATTTAATTTATTTATTATAACTTCACCGACATAAATAAATTAAAATTTTAATTTTATTTAATTAAATAGCATAAGTAAGATGATTATCAAATTTATAAGTACCACAAAATAATGAGTTATAAGTCATTTCAACAGCATCTTAATAAAAAAATACCCACTTGAAATTACCTTATAACCCCTAACACATATACCCTCAAAGTCTATAAATACCCACCACCCACCCCCCATTACCATCATCTCCAACCATCTCTAAACATACCAGAGAAAATGGGTTCCCTACCTCATGTCATCGAGGACTTCATGGGAGTTCTCCAAGTCCTAAGCGACGGCACCGTTTTAAGATCCAAAACCATCAACTTCAACATCCCAATCATCAATGACGACTCTGTCCTCTTCAAAGATATTCTTTTCGACAAAACCTATAATCTCCATCTCCGAATCTACAAACCCACTTCCCCACCTTCGTCCCGCAAGCTTCCCATCATCTTTTTCTTCCATGGCGGCGGCTTTTGTCTCGGCTCTCGCGCGTGGCCCAATTGCCACAACTGCTGTCTCCGGCTAGCCTCAGGACTAAACGCCGTCGTTTTCTCGCCCGACTACAGGTTGGCGCCGGAGCACCGGCTTCCGGCAGCCATCGACGACGCGGAGACGGCGTTGAAGTGGGTTCAAACTCAAGCTTTATTAAGCGAGGATGAAAGCGAGGGCGATGCATGGGTCAACGCTCGTGGGGTTGACTTTGACCAGGTGTTTGTATTAGGAGATTCTTCCGGGGGCAATATTGCGCACCATCTGGCGGTCCGGCTCGGTGCGGAGTCAACCGGAATTAGGCCGGTTCGTGTACGAGGTTATATATTGATGGCGCCATTTTTCGGTGGGGTGGTCAGGACCAAGTCCGAGGAAGGTCCTAGTGAGGCTCTGTTGAACTTGGAGATACTTGATAGGTACGTACATTACTGTAACTTCATTAATTGATTCACATTCATATATATATATATGTGTGTGTGTGTGTATACACAGACACAAACACGTATATGTGTGTAGTGGAAGATCTGTGATCTTTGTGTCCGGTCTGTTGTGGTAAAGTTTATAGGATATGAGAAAAGAGATTTTGAGAGTGACCTCACTATCATGGAAATTACTCATAACCAGCTTTCATTTTATTTTTATTTATTATTATTATATAATATTACATATATATATATATATATACACACACACACACACCCACATATAAGTCTATACGAATATATTTAGTATTTTTCTATTGATCTTTTTTCATGATCTCGACTTGTATGGATATGAATTGCGGTTAGAGTAACCCAAATTGATATTTTCCGGATTAACGTTACATTAATTAATTAATTGTTGCGGAATTAGGATATTAATTATGAATTAGTGGGAAAAGCATGTGGTTATGACAAGTACCACTAAATGGGGTACACATGCATGCAAGTTAATATAATCCACATAAAATTACATTAAGTTAATTGGGTCAAGAACAAAACCATGCACTAAAAGTCTAAAAACTAGGGTTTGCAAACCCTAATTGGCTTAAGAATGACAAGAAACACATACATACAAACATGTATGTATGTATATATCATGGGTTATTGTCAATGAAAAAGTGTACATGCCACCTATGTAGCCTCCTGCCTTGTTCATGTCACGGTTGATTTGGAATTATTATATATTATACTCAACATAGGGTATTAGGGTTATCATGAGGTCACGAAATTAATTAATTATTGTTTTGGTTTGGGATAAGATAAAAGTATAGTAGCACATTATATGTATAATATATTATCTCTCTTGTTGTGAGCGTGTGTGTGTATATATATATGGGCACTATAAGACATCCAACATAGGGTGCCTAGAAGATTCCCAAAATTCATCCAAAAAGTTGATGAATTGACCCTTAATTTGACTATCAATTTGGTGACTACCAAATTATTTGGGGAATTAAATATAAAATCTAATTCATGAGAATCATAATTATTGTTTATAAGCAAAAACAATTAATTAAACACTTAGCTTAATTAATTATCATAATCCACTCAAATATATGTGTTATTTCAGCTTAATCACACCCTTTTTAGGTCATTATAATTAAGCTGACCCACATATAAACACACAAATATATATATATTTATTAGTGCCCAATGACCTCTCTTATCTCCTACCCTATTTTTTTTTCAAATTATTATTATAATATTAAAACCCACGCCTATACAAACAATTGATGAGTAATATGTATCTCCTTTATATTTTTGACATGCATTAATTATATTAATTGTATATAGCCACTTATAGTGCATTCTATAAATCAACATTTTGGGCAACAATTATATATATTATTTATGTCTCATCATGCCATTATATATATATATATATTATATATTATATAAAGTGAGAGTATTATCATAAGACAAAAAGTTTCAAATACATTCTCTAACAATCATATTTCAAGATATATATAGGAGATAGTGGTTAATCCAAAAATAAAAATAGTGCCTCATCCATTATCTTTTGCATGATCATCTCTTGTCTTTCCACACATATACATATACATATACATATATATATATATATATTTATTTATTGTAGGTTTTGGAGGCTGTCAATGCCGGTTGGGGAAACAAGAGATCATCCATTGGCGAACCCATTTGGTGAATTGAGTCCGAGGCTTGAAGAAATTAGGCTTGACCCAGTCTTTGTAATTGTGGGGGGAGCTGAATTATTGAAAGACAGAGCAAAGGATTATGCAGAAAGATTAAGAGAAATGGGGAAGAAAATTGATTACTTAGAATTTGAGGGAAGGGAACATGGATTCTTCACAGATGATCCTTACTCACAAATTGCCAACCAAACTCTTCATCACATCAAAACATTCATCTTAGCCAACTCCACTTGATACATACACCCACCCACATACATACATACATAATATCTACACATTTGTATGCATGTGTGCATGTAGCTAGCTACTATCAATTAGAAATAAAGTTGGGTCATTTTCTCCTTACTATATATATCTATATATATATATATTATTTCTTTTTTACAAACAATCTGTCCATATTTATATCATCTCAATTATATATATATATATACACACACACAATGGATTGTAACTATCGTTTCTTTCTTGTCTTTTTATCACCAATGCCAAGACCCATAATATATATATATATATATGTGTGTGTGTGTATAAGCTAATAATGGGTATAATTGGATGTACTTAATGTTCTTAATTCCAATAAACCCTTTGACCGCCGTGATGTAGTAAAATGATTCAAACAATGAAATGATAAGATTTAATCAAAATTCAATGAGTCAAATATTATTGTTTGTCAATAATTGTAGATATGACACCACCCCCAACTCTAACTTAAATTAATTATTAATTAATTAATTAATTATATTATATTATTACGTTAATTACATTCTCCTTTATTGGTGATTATGACTGCAGACTTGATTATTCAACAATAATAGAAATTTTGTCTTTAAAAGTTAGATTAAAAAAATTATTTATTCTTAATTAAAATTAGAATTCGAATAATATTCTAGATTTTTAACCTAAATAAATATATTTTATAGCAGAAATTACTAATTTTTCAAATGAAAGACACTGTTGGATCTCTCAAAAACTAAATCTAAATTAAAAATAAAATTCTCATTTTAATAATTATTATTCTTTGTATTTTAATTAGTTTAAAATTATTATATCACATTTATTAATTAATTAAAATTATTATTATTTAAAAAAAATGTACTTTTAAGCTTAGTCAGACCTTTTTGGGTAACAATTATTTAATCAAAGCATGTAATATTGCTTCATTATGCTTCATCTTTTCGAAAGATTTAGTGGGTCCAAAATCGGCACAAATTTAATTTATAACAATTAAGAATTACATTATTATAAATATATATATATATATATATAATACATTATCCTCTTAATATATATCTATATATGTATATGTATATGTATATGTATATGACCTTGGTATGATCCTTATCTGCTAATAAAAAATAATCGAACGAGATATATATTATCTTTTTGAAAAAAAAAAAAAAAAAAAAAAACCAATATTTATTTTTCTATATATTCTAAGTTGACTTCTCTCCCCTCAAACATATGTTATATATATGACTGCTATCTGCAACATGACAAAATAATATGTATGTATGTATGTATATATATGTGTGTGACAAAATAATATTGAAATATTTTATAATAATGGTTTGGATTATGGATTGAAATGGTGCAATTACTTTCGGTCGTATTTAATTGAAATAATCCTAATAAATTCGGTCATGATAATTATTTAATAAATTATGTAATTAAAGATATTATTTTTATAATATACATATATATATATATACATACATACATATATTAATCACATTTTTTTCAATATTATATATATATATATATATTTAAAGAAAAAAAAAAGATTTAGTGGGTCCAAAACCATGTGAACTGAATCTATTAGATATTGAAAGTTATTGTTTTTTTTTTCTTTGGGAGGAGCGAAGGATCAGATACTGAAAGCTACATACACGTATATATATATATATATATATATATATATATTACTGGGTAAGTATCTCACCGGATAATAGATTAACATGAGAATATATATATATATATATATATATATAAATTATATAAACTGAATTTATCAGGTATTGAAAGTTTTGGGAAGGACGAGACACTGATAGTTGGACACACGTATATGCAGAGATATATATAGATGTGTGTGTGTGCACGTACATATATATATATATATATATAAATATGTATATATATTACTGGGTCAATTATCTTACCGGATAAGATCAACAAAAATATATATATATATGTAAAAATTACACACAAAATATATAATAAAATATATTTAGTTAAGTAATTAATTGAAAAAATGGTTGAAATTCGCACGTGCACAAATTAATACCAATATTCTAACATATGTTGTCCTTTTAAATCACAGGATATATTACCGTCATATTATAGAAATTTCTCAAGCATATCTGTCTTATTACACAAGGGTATAATTGTAATTATAACCTTAATTTAAACTCAATTTTTTTTTAATTTAATCCCCCCCCCCAAAATCCCTGTTTCCAATTTTGGGCTTTTCAAAAAATGGGCTTTTCAAAAATGGGCTTTTCTACAATTTTGGGCTTACCCAAGTTATAACGCTGGTCAACAAAACTTTTTAAAATATATATATATATATATACACATAAATATGTCATTTTATATTTAATTATATTTAAGAGATTTTCTAATCTTATGTTTAATTAAAATTTTAATTTAATCCCCCCAAAAATCCCTCTTTCCAATTTTGGGCTTTTCAAAAAAGGGGCTTTTCTACAATTTTGGGCTTACCCGGTCAACAAAACTTTTTTAAAATATATATATGTATATATGTATACATAAATATGTCATTTTATATTTAATTATATTTAAGAGATCTTCTAAAGATTATAATCAAATCTTATGTTTAATTTCTAATTATAAAATTTATTCGAATATTCATCAGTTTAGTGTACGAAAAGATTTTTAATTTCCTGTAAAAAAAAATTTAATTGTGGTTCAAAATTTATTTTAAAAAATCAATTTAAATATATTAACAAGTTGTTATTTGTAAATATTTTTTTAATTAATCCCATAATTTTTTGTCTAATAATTAAGACGTCGGGACATTAATTGCATTAACTATATTTGGATAGTGTACAGGTAAGCTCAGAGTAAGCAACATGTTAAACTGTCTTTATCTCTGGCCTTGACTTAATAGCCTGATTAGTTTCCTAATCTTTTCTTATATACGATAATCTAACAATTAGTTGAGTTGTAATTTCCGGTAATTTTCAATTAACCAACTAATCATCAACTTCCGATTAATCATCAGCCGTCCGTTTCTTGTGCTTCATCTAAAATTTCCCTGTGACACGTAACACACACAAGTTTTTCCCTGTCTGCTAAAAATAACTCGTTTATTTGATTTGATTTTTTCTCTCTCTGGGGCACGAAAATCGAGAAAACCATGGAGCAATGAATGAGAAACAGACCCGAATAAACAAACAAACTAAACTACTAAAAAAGAAAAAATTAGGGTTTCGAAAATCCCTCTCCCCGAGTCCCCTCTCTCTATCTCCTCTGCCTGGTGGATTTTCCTTCCCTCCAAACGCCATTTCTTGTTTTTTTTCTTTTCCTTTTTCTTTTTTTTTTCCTTCTTATTTCCGGTTTTCCGGGAAAGTGAGGGAAAATCTTAATCTTATATTTTTCCCGGAGGTTGGTGATATTAGAGAAAAGAAAGGAGAAAAAGGAATTGTTTGATGAGAAGTGAATTTTCTCGGGAAAATTCAGGTCGGTTTGTAGCTCTCGTTTTGGTTTCTCTACTCTACTTCTGGTTCATCCGAAGGTAAGAAGTTAATCAATTTTCGGCGACTTTGTTTTGTTTAGACTGGAATTTTTATTTCTTTCTTCCTATGAAATTTTAAGGGAGGTGTTTTAGTAGTTTAATTTTTATTGACAATTACAATATCTTGCAGCTCGCGGGAGAGTTACTGTCTCTCTTGTGAGTTGTCTGTGCAATTTTTTCCCGGGAAAAAATTTCCAAAATTTTGTTGAAGCAAACAAAGAATCCTTGTTTTCGGATCCGTTAGGCTGCTTATCTTTTTTTTTTTTTCTCTTTTATTCTTCCTACAGATGTTTTTGTATGGTTGATCTTTGAGGAATAGAAGCAGGCTGTTGGTGTTAAATGGAGGAGGGAATTGTCATTCTTAATATCTAATTTTCCGGAGGGAGGATTAAGGGGATAAAATATAAGAATTTTTCTTGTAAGATTCTTTTTGGATTGATCTGGAATTATTTGAGATTGGATGAAACCTGGTTTATGGAGTCCGAAACATTTGCTCCAGCCAGAGATTTGGTGAAGTGTTGTAATTGTGGGTGTGATTGTTCTTTAGTTACTGGTTCCTCTGGTTCTTGGATTCGATCTGTAAAACGAAAATATGAGGAATTTGAGGAGGGCAATAAATTCTTCATACCGGGTTTTGACTTGTTCTCAAACGCCAGAGTCCAGGTTGAGAATGAGTGTCTTGCATTGCGGGAGACTGTTAGTAGCCAACAGCAAGCTATACAGGATTTGCATGCTGAACTGGAGGAAGAGAGAAATGCCTCATCATCAGCAGCAAATGAAGCCATGTCTATGATATTGAGGTTACAGAGGGAGAAGGCTGAAATCCAAATGGAGGCTCGACAATTTAAGCGGTTTGCAGAAGAGAAAATGGCACATGACCAGCAGGAGCTTGGTGCTTTGGAAGATTTGCTGTATAAAAGAGAGCAGGCCATCCAGTCTCTTACCTGTGAGGTGCAGGCTTACAAGCACAGGATGCTGAGTTATGGACTCACAGAGGCAGAGGCTGATGGTGAGAAAGGTTGCTTTAGCAGGAACACGAGCATGGTTGACATTGATGCACAATTTGATCTACCTGCATTTGATTACCCCCCCTTAAGATGCAATTTGAATGAGAATCCAGGTACTTTAGAAGGTGATATTGTTGTGGCTGACATCGAGAAGTATGAAGCCGGTGAGCCCCCTCATTGCCGGGAGTTGAAGAACTTGGAGCACAGGATCAGCCAGATGGAAAGGAATCCCAGTTACAATCAATTGGATGGGGATTTTTCTGGGGGGAAGAATGTTTTGGAAAAGGTAATAGTTGGTCATTCTCCTAGATGGCCTAGACACTATAGGAAGCTTTCGACTGATAGTTCAGGTTCATTCATGGGAATGGCCAAAGAATCAAATCCAGAGTTTACTGTTGAGTCCCCCAAGTTTAATGGTAGCTCCAGGAGGATGGAACATGTATCACAAACAGAAGACACTTCCCATTTGAAGAGGATGGATAATGCATCTGAAATTGGAGATGACACAAGTGATAGGGTTTATACCATCGATTCCGTATATAATGGAGTATCATATAATGGGGTTACAGAAGGTAAATCTGGAGTTGGTGTTGGTGATGATTATGTGGTCACTCCTAGAGATTCTTTAACTCGGCCT